AGGCTATGATCGTTGAGTATAATGTTGATAATTCCACTGTTTTAAACGAGAACCCAAAAGCTCTGCTTTACTTTTTGGCAGATTTAAATTTAGAATTAAATCGTTAAAATCTTCTGAAGAAATAAGATGGTGTTTTGGTTGTTCGGGCGTAGGTAAAAATTCTTTATCTGAACCACTTCTATTGGAGCTGTAAGATGAGCTTTTTTGAGACAACTTCATCGGAGATTCAGGTACTGGAAGAGTCGCGCTATGTACAATCGGAGCAGAAGAAGAATCAAGGTCAGGATATTCAATAGATTTTGCATTTTTGCCACTACGTCTTGTGACAGGGACCTGGTTCACCTACAGTGAATCAGCGAGTCTGTGTGGCGCTATGAATGTAATTCCCGAATAAGGGTTGCTCAGGCGCCAGTTTTGGTGTCGCAGTTTGCTCTGCGACCCTGTGGTACACCAGAGTGTACTCAAGGTGAACTTAGTGGAGGTAAAAATAATTCCAGGCGGTCACTGCTAGGTAGCCACTATACTGGAATAAATAAAAATAAAACACTTATCTCCTTTACACCTCGTACCCTACGGTACCCTGAAAGAGAACGGTTAAGAACCAGTAATAAGAGAAACACAGGAGTAGGTACTAAAATATATATTTACAAAAAAATTTAATACAACGGTAATTATATATGAACGGCTCCCTGCATTCGGAAAATCTATTCTTTAAAAATAAATTATAAAAATTGAAAAGTATTTAGATACTGACGGATCCCTATATCCGGAAAATTGAATAAAAATAAATTATTAAAGTTGAAAATTATTTAAATATTGACGGATCCCGGTATTCGGAAAATTTGTTAAAAATAAATTATTAAAGTTGAAAATTATTTAAACATATAGAAATATTTATGGTTTATTAGCACAGGATGCTAATCGGACTGGGAATTTTTAAACGCCCAGTATACGGAAAATGTATGAAAATAAATTAATATACTTGAAACAATTTAAATATGACGGTAATCAAAAGCAAACAAATAAATAAACTCAAAATTGTTGGAGCCCCCTTGTATCTTAATAACCAAGCGATGGGAAATGAAAATTCTCGCTTACTGATAAATATGGTTTATTCACGCGGTGTTTTGAATGGCGACCACGATGGTCGTAGAAAATAATATTTTTAAATTTTGCCCAGAGTCTATCGAGAGCGTATGTGTAAATTTAATTTTACAGAAGTCGTCTGGCTTCATTCAATAACTAATTGTAGACGGGGAATGATTCAAATACGGCTGAATAAAAAATTAAAAGAAAATAAATTTTACACGAACTGAGGCGCGGAAATTAATTTAAACGTCTTTTTGGGAAATCAGACAACGTAATCAGGAGAGAGAGCTCTCCAACCCAGGAAACGGATCGAACCTCCGAAAAAGAAAAAAAATAAAACTATAAAATAATAAAAAATCGAAAACAGGTCGAATCTCTCACTTCGATGTTAAGTGGGCGGTTTTTAAAAGAAATTGGATATAGTCGCTGACAAAAAGAGCACTCGGTGTCTAGTCAAGGACCAACCTCAAATAAAAAATTTCCAACGGTTTCCCACTGAGGGATGAAATAATATATTCTGGATGTGAATCAAAATTCTTCACTTGTCACACGGGTGTCCCAACTAATTATATAAAAGCCAACATAAAAAAATAATAATATACTGTTCCCACCTTAGCAGATAAACGGGGTTAATCGACGAACTAAATCACGGTACTCACGGCACTAGGTACTAACTAATGGTGAATAGTATTTGGCTGTCGGCCATCAAGAGAGAAGAGCTTACGGCGGCTGGCAAGCGAGAAGAGGGCGTAATTCCCAGATGGGATTTAATTTATACTTTTTCGGTAAAGCAAGATGGAAGACCAGTAGGCGCGAGTGGGGATACTACCACTACAGCTGACTGTTTACAATTTAGAAATATAAAAAATGTCCTACTAGTACCTTGACAATTAAAAGTAGATAATTCATACGAAATCGACTCTAAAAATGCACATTCGGATTTCGGCAAATATAAGAATATTCTAATCTACGAGAGTACTCGCAATTGTTGAAAAACGGTAATTCCTGGAAAACAGAAATACATGTTCTCAGGCGGGAATTAATTAAAATATACATTTTTAAATTAATTGAGAGCAAAAGTTAGTGACTTCGTCACAGTCTTTTACGTGGATTGACAATACAAAAAAAGCAGTCATTAATGTGGTCTTTTGGTTCTCGCCAAATTCTTGGTACTGCGAATTTCATAGACCCCCTCTCAACTCGATACCAAACTAAAATAAATGGATATAAAAATTAATGTGTTTATAGTATTTTGTAATCGCTTAAAAATTACTCACCTTCCAAAGACCTTTTACAAGTACTACATGCGACATGCGGAGCCCATGGCTTGTCTTGGTTCCTAACAGGTAAGTTAAAATGAGCTTCGTAGGTTTTAAAGATAACGTTACATGTCTTCAATTCATATTTTATGTCGCGCACTTTGATAAATTGACCACATATATAAAAAAACGCATTAGCATCATGCTTACACTTTCTCGACGACATTTTAACATTTTCTAAACTTGTACAAAACATCTGATTGTTATTTATCACTCAAGTGCCATCTAGATGCACTGTGTGAATGTAAAAACCCCACTTTTATGTCGCGGGATTTTTGAATGTATCAGAATTAATTAAAATTTCTACAAAAACTTAAAAATGAGTATAATTACGAGTTATCACAAAAGCAAACTTTATCTAGAAAAAAGGTATTTTTTTATCGTTTCTGTGACTAATTTATCAGAAAATCATAAAATAAACTTTAGGACAAAAAATTAAATTTTTTTTGTTGAGCCGTCTAATAGGTTAGATCAGTGGTCGCCAACCTCTCAATGTGTTGAGCTACTTTGTTAATTTTGGAATAAACAGCGAGGTACCCACACGGAAGCCACGTAACGCAACGTAAATGAAATAATCCACAGTTAATTTATCATTATATGTATTTATTTTACTATTTAACTGGTAATACATAATACATAGGTACTAATAATAAACTAATAACAAAATAACTAATATTACTAGTACAAACTTTCATCCAGCCACAACGGCATGTCACGTAAGATTTGAAAATAGTTAATAATAACAACAAAAAAGTAACACACTATCATGAACATAAACGAAAAATAAAAAGCACGTTCAATGAGAAGGCTGACATTCAGACTCATCGATAATTTTTTTAATGTTTGCAGTATAATTTGATACAGCCATTCGAATACAATTATCCAAATGTTCATCTGTAAGTCAATTGCGATATTTGTTCTTAATAAACTTCATATTGGAAAAAGAAGATTCACACAAATAGGTTGAACTGAATAATGCTTTGACTTTCAAGGCAACAGGCATAGAACTGAGTATTTGTCTTTACTTACAATAGGCCAGATACAATAATTGGTACTTGAAACTAACGATTTTAAGGCTAAATCATTTTAAAACTCAATTACTTCCATTTCTGTTGCAGCGATGTCTTCGCCAAAGCTTTCCATAACTCAAGTTGCAAACTGTTGGATATCAATTTCCATAAAGGGTGAAACAACAAACTGCGCTACTAAAGCCATTTCGTTGAAATCCTTAAAACGATTTTTGAAGTTATTCTTCAGGGTAGAAACTATTTCTACATGATATTTGCTGTCATAGGGTTCTAATGGATTTTGAGATATTTTTTTCTGAAAGAATAGGAAAATGCTTGGCATGCTGTTTATTAGGTTTTGTTCCCAAAACTACAGCTTTTTGATAAATGCTTTTATATCAGAAATCATTTCTAGTTCTTTGTCTCTCCCCTGAAGCTGCAAATTAAGTTTGTTTAATTTCTCTGTAATGTCCACGAGAAAACCAAAATCTCTAAGCCAGATTGAATTTTCTAGTTCCGGAGGCGATTCATCGCGTTGTTTGAAAAATTGAACTATACCAGATAGGACATCATTAAAAGGTTTCAGCACCTGTCCTCTACTTAACCATCGGACTTTAGAGTGAAGGAGTAGGTCCCCGTATTGACAGTCAACTTCATCGGCCAAGGTTTTCAAAATCTTCTTTGTAACGCTTGAGCTCTAATCTTATTCACAATTTTTACCACCAGTTTCATAATGTTTAGTTTCAGGAAGTTTCACATAATGCTTGCTGATCGATGATGCAGTGGCAACAAAAAAATTGCGGAAAAGTTTCACCTTTACGACATAACGCCACCAGACCCTTATCACAACCCACCATAGCTGGAGCGTCATCGGTTGTCAAGCCTACCATTTTCGATATTGGAATTTTCTCGGAAGTAATAATATTTTTTAAATGAGAAAACAACTCCTGTCCAGTAGTGTGTCCTTTCAGTGGAATAAACTTCAAAAGGTCTTCTTTAATCGTAAAATTACTAAAAACCATCCTGACGAACACGGCCATCTGAGCAGTGTCAACGACATCTTTTGATTCATCCAGTTGAAGTGAAAAATAAACAAAGTTATCTAAGTCAGTTCTTAACTGTAAAAAAATATCATTTCTCATTACTTTTACACGTCTCATCACTGTATTAGCAGAAAGTTGCATAGACTTTATAGCTGAAACTATCTCGTCTTTATTTCTAAAGTTGGGAAATAACGAATCAGCAGCTTTTTAAAACGCCTGTTTTATCATTTCCCCGTCTTCATAAGGTTTTTTTTTTTTGTGCAATTATCTGGGACACACGGTACGATGCTTCAGTTGCAGCCTTACTTTTGTCGACTGTTCTTAAAAATATTGATTGTTGTCCAATTAACTGCTTTTTTAACTGTTTCAGTTTCTCCTTTCTGGTGGCAGAATGTAGTGGGAATGATTTTTCAAAATTAAAATGTACAGTTTTATGATGTCTCTCAATATTTCCTTTTTTAACAACGGAGACCGAAGTATTACATAACAAACACATTTTTATCTTTAACTTCTGTAAAAAAGTATTGTTTTTCCCATTCCGAATGAAAGTGGTATGTCTTTACCTTCTTACAACTGCTTGCCATAATATTATTTTTTCGTGTTCTCTACTAACCCAACCGCTGGACGTTGGTTACGCGTTCATATTTAAACTAAGCACAATGTCGCCACGCCGTGCGTATTTATCCCGTTCAAAGCAATCCTGATCGTTCTCGAACACTAACGCGCTGGTCCGGCTGGTCTGTTCTAGCCGATTCTAGCTTGATGGCGTCAGCGGCAGATCGCTCACCGCAACGTTGCCGCTGTTTATGTTTATTATTATGACAATTATATTTTTTTGTGGAATTTTCGGAAGCATCTCTGATTTTTGCAGTTTGTATTTTTTAAATTAAAATCGTTGTGAGAGCTACCAGAATTGCCTCCGCGAGCTACCGGTAGCTCGCGATCGACAGGTTGGCGACCACTGGGTTAGATATTGGGTTAAACAATAGGCTCTTATCTCTTTTAACTTGTTTAAATACTTACACCATAAGTAGTTAGTTTAAAATCATTTCTAATAACTCATCTGTGTATCATTGTATCAAATTAAATTTTTAAATTTATTTTTATTTTTAAAAGCCTGATTTTAAAATAACCAGTTTATTTTAAATACTAACTTTCAAAATAAAAAAAAATATATTGGCAAAAATATAAAAACATCACATGCCTCTTTGGCAACTGGTAAGTTCTACCTCCGTCAAGGCAACACTTTGTTAATTTCAGTAAAACTTTACTGACATTAATAGATGTCACACAAAAAGTTTATTACAAAAAATATTTTTAAAACAAAGTACACTAGTATCAATGTCTCATACTATACCTACAAACAAGTGCAAGTTAAATTAGCTCTATTTCCTTATCTGGACTTTTAACAAAATATCTAACAATATTTTTAAGAAACAACAATTTAATGCAAACAATTGCATGACCTTTGAACTTTCATAAACCATGCGAAATCCCACAACATAAATACACCCATGAATTTGAATAGATTGTTTATCGTACTCAAATAGGGCACCGACTAAACAAAAGATAAATCCAAAATTTTTGTATATTTGTCTATGAGTCATATTTTAAGCTTGGTAACTTTTTGGTCAACACTATTTAAGAATAAAATGGCATTGTTGAAGTTATCAACAAATAAGATAATAGTTTGTAAAATTTTATTGGTATTATAAACCTGAGACATCATCTCAAACTACAGTTAAAAATGCGTTTAAATACTACCAGATGTAAAGTTGTTTAAAATAAAATAAAACTTATGTTCCAAATATTATCCAAGTGGTTTGAAATGGTTCTAATTAAATTTAAATACTATAAAATTGGTTTAATGTTGTAAACTGATAACCATAAAAAATTGTCTTTTATTTATAATTATAGTATAATGAGATAATGATACACAAAATCAATGGACATGATCACATTTTAAGAAATTATTATGTTTTTATAAATACATAGTTTTTTAAATCCATTTTTTAAATTTTGACATATAAAGTGACATTTCTTGTTATCGCAGCAACTGCCAAAATGATACACTTTACGCAACCAGTTGCATAATGTTGAACATTATGAAACTAGTTTCGAGAAATTCATTATATCACCTGTTGCGAGAAGAAAACAAATTAAAATAAACTTTTTTTGGTTTTAAAATCAACAATATACTGAAAAGGTACAATTAAAATTAAAATGAACTTGAGACAATCAGTATATTAGGACAATCAATTTTAAAATGATAAAGTAACAATTCAAATAAATTTTAGGACAATCAGTTTATGAGGGACAATCAGTTCACTGTGACAGTCGGTATACTATCAGTAAAATTAATAATGTCAAAAATCAAAACAGGCTTATTGATTAAAAAGAATTGTCAGAATAATAGTATATTATTAAACGAGCAATTTATGGTAGCTATTATTCACGCAGGGTGACGTTTGCGTCCCGAGCCGTAGGCGAGGGGCGCAAATCACCCGAGTGAATAATGGCTATAAATTGCGAGTCTAATACTATACTTTGTCCACGACCATTATGGTTTCTTTATTAAATAAAAGTTAAGTGTGAATGGAAAGTTTTTATTAAACATAGGTAACTTTTCGATTTTTCGTTTTTATCCATTTTTTTTTTTCGATTTTTCGATTTTTATTTTCGACTTTTTTTCGATTTTTCAATTTTTCGTTTTTTTTTTTCGATTTTTCAATTTTTTTTGATTTTTCGATTTTTCGATTTTTGATTTTTCGATTTTTGATTTTTCGATTTTTGATTTTTCGATTTTTCGATTTTTTGATTTTTCGATTTTTCGATTTTTCGATTTTTCGATTTTTCGATTTTTCGATTTTTCGATTTTTCGATTTTTCGATTTTTCGATTTTTCGATTTTTCGATTTTTCGATTTTTCGATTTTTCGATTTTTCGATTTTTCGATTTTTCGATTTTTCGATTTTTCGATTTTTCGATTTTTCGATTTTTCGATTTTTCGATTTTTCGATTTTTCGATTTTTCGATTTTTCTATTTTTCGATTTTTCGATTTTTCGATTTTTCGATTTTTCGATTTTTCGATTTTTCGATTTTTCGATTTTTCGCTTTTTCGATTTTTCGATTTTTCGATTTTTCGATTTTTTGATTTTTCGATTTTTCGATTTTTCGATTTTTCGATTTTTCGATTTTTCGAATTTTCGAATTTTCGATTTTTCGATTTTTCGATTTTTCGATTTTTCGATTTTTTGATTTTTCGATTTTTCGATTTTTCGATTTTTCGATTTTTCGATTTTTCGATTTTTCGATTTTTCGATTTTTCGATTTTTCGATTTTTCGATTTTTCGATTTTTCGATTTTTCGATTTTTCGATTTTTCGATTTTTCGATTTTTCGATTTTTCGATTTTTCGATTTTTCGATTTTTCGATTTTTCGATTTTTCGATTTTTCGATTTTTCGATTTTTCGATTTTTCGATTTTTCGATTTTTCGATTTTTCGATTTTTCGATTTTTCGATTTTTCGATTTTTCGATTTTTCGATTTTTCGATTTTTCGATTTTTCGATTTTTTGATTTTTCGATTTTTCGATTTTTTAGATTTTTTGGATTTTTCGATTTTTCGATTTTTTGATTTTTCGATTTTTCGATTTTTCGATTTTTCGATTTTTCGATTTTTCGATTTTTCGATTTTTCGATTTTTCGATTTTTCGATTTTTCGATTTTTCGATTTTTCGATTTTTCGATTTTTCGATTTTTCGATTTTTCGATTTTTCGATTTTTCGATTTTTCGATTTTTCGATTTTTTGATTTTTCGATTTTTCGATTTTTCGATTTTTCGATTTTTTGATTTTTTGATTTTTCGATTTTTCGATTTTTCGATTTTTCGATTTTTCGATTTTTCGATTTTTCGATTTTTCGATTTTTCGATTTTTCGATTTTTCGATTTTTCGATTTTTCGATTTTTCGATTTTTCGATTTTTCGATTTTTCTATTTTTCTATTTTTCGATTTTCTATTTTTCGATTTTTCGATTTTTCGATTTTTCGATTTTTCGATTTTTTGTTCTAGAAAATATCGTTATGAAAAGTATCGCCTATCTTTAGTTATCTATCGGAATATGCCAGAATTACAAAAGCGTGAATTATCATAATTCACTCCGTGATATATGGGTACTATATGCTCTTAGTTAGGAGGTAGAATATTGATTTATTATTAAGTGGTCGTGGACAATAGTATATTACATTACGAGTGTGGAAAATCACTTTTCACACAAGTGATGTACAATATTTTTCCTACGACCACAAAATAATTTCATCAAAAAATGTAAAACCAGATTATTATAATAATTAAAATGTATTTAAAAAAATAATCAACAATAATCGTATTTATTAAATTTTCATAATTTCTAAACAAATAAAAAAAAATGAAAAAAAAAAAAAAAAAAAAATTCTGGCACAGCCAGGATTCGATCGCGGTCGTTGGACGGTCTCAAATTGCAAAGTTGATGCTCTAACCAACTGAGCTAACAGGCCTTACGGTAATTGATTGATCTAATCGCTTATGTGTTTAACCAGAATAAAAAGCAAATATATCTTAGTTATTTTAAAATTATTTTAAAAATAATTGTTAAAGATAAATATCTAGGATCTAGTTTACAATAATTTAACAATCATATCGATTTTAGTATTAATATGGACATTACATAGATCAAAATAGAAATTATGTGTTTGACATTTTCTGACAGCTACTGCGGAAAGTAGCATATTCTCACTTGTGTGGAAAGTAAATTCTTATTCATACGCGTGTGATATAGGGCACTTTCCATAGGTCTATATAGTGTGATATGTGTCACTTTCCTAAGTGGTCGTAGGAAAAATTATTTATGTAGTCTATAAGAACTATTAATTAACAAGATTTGATTTATAATGTTAAAATATAGATAATTGTTAATCTGTAAAAAAACATGTCTAGAATGAGAACCATACGAAGTAGAGCCACATAAATATTTCTCTTTTGATTTTATTAAAAAATATGTATGATGTCACCTTTATTTTGGAAAAGGAGGTTGCTAGGAGGTTGCTAAGAGGATGTTAATTTTGGATCAGCTAGAGTCAAGTAACAAGTACACCAGAAGAGAATTTAGTAGGTAAATAAGACAGCTTAAAAGAAAATTCTGAAAAGAAATATGCATACAATTAGAAGGAGACATCTGGGACAGGAGTACAAAATTGTATTGGGAAAGTTAAAGCACATAACCCTACCAAATGAAATAGCTGACTCCGAAAAATTTAAAATTGCAATCAGGATCATTCCGAATATCAAAGAGTACTTCCCAAAGCAAAATGTATGCAATGCACCATACTTTATGATAACGGAACTGAAGAAGGCAGCTTTAAGACTATAAATTGGTAAAGTACCAAGGCCAGATGGAATAGTGGTAGAATATGTTAAAATGGCGATGAAAGAGATACCATTACATATCTTGAGCATGTTTAATGGATTACTATCCAAGCAGATCATCCAAAAGAAATAGAAATCATCGTCGGT